GTTTAATTTAAAAATAAATATTTTTTTTTTGAAGAGAAACAATTAAGGTAAGTAAAAAAAGATTACTAGATTGTATAGGTACCCAGAAATACAATAATTATTAAAAAAGCAGAATAATTTTGAAATAGTTATGGAAGGATAGAAATAAAATATTTAATTTATTACTTTAAATTATTTAAAATTTTATCAACATTAATAAAATATATCGGGATGAAATTGTCCAGTTGGAATTCTGACTACAGAACGTAAGTATTGTCAATGCATTTTGGAAATTGCAATTTTTTAACATTGTATATTGTGTGAAGGTCACAGAATTTGTTTTTGGGAGTGAACAGAATTCGTAAAATTTGATATACCATTGATTTCTTAAAAATGAACAAAAGTGTTGAAAACTTGGTATATGTACCACAAATGAACAAAAGTGGCTGAAACCTGGTATACCATTGTTTATTTTTTTAAAATCTCTAAGTTAGGCCAAAAGCCTGCTCACCTGGTGCACCGGGGACCCATCCGCCAGTATCCACTCCACCTCCGGCGAGGGACTCCCATGGGCCGTGCAGTCCACTTTCGCGCCCGAAATGTTGCTAAATTCCAGTCTATGTGGCGGCTCGTGCAAGAACAAAGGTCCTTGCATGTCCAAACCTCCACTCCATGCTGAAAGCAACAGAAAGCAGTCATTATTAAGCACCGATTGTGCATCATCTTCAACAGGAACGCGCACGATATTGCCCCAGATCAGGGATTAATCCACGACGGGATTATAGACATATTAGAAGATCCCAACGTCGTAGATACGTGAGCTTTATTGCGGCATACCTCCAGCGACAATTCCGGACAGAATTTCCAGTTATTAACGGCTTGCTCGCAGGTGGGGACATTGTGAGCTTAATAGACGGGAAATTTGGTTTGAAGGGCGATGTTTAGGCCCAAGGCGGGTTCATTATCGGCCCGAAGTTAATTGGAAGGGCGCGAATAGCCCTTGTTTATCAAAATCGTATTAGCCTGATATTGGGTGGGTATCAGTTACATTTACAAAAAATATTCATTTAACTTTGTTGAAATTATCAATAGTAATATCGATAATTAGAATCAATTTGGAATATTTTTACAAAAACAATATTTTCATTATGAGATAAAAAAAAACGATTTATCCAATCAGATTCGAGGTAATTTAGCACACGGGTAAATTATCGATAATTTGAATTTGATTGAATAAATCTAAGAAATTTGGAAGATTTGATTGGCTTAATTTTTTTGTAGGAGATAGTCTAAGGAATTTTTTTAAACTGATACTAGGTTTTGTTGTAATTTTTTGTTACAACACACGTATTCTGAAACACTGATATTTTTTTCTTGTCTATGTTCTACATATACCTTTTCAAATTTCTCGCAAATTTTATTTCTGAATCTAACAAATATACGCTTGGAAAACAGTGAATTTTGAAAATTAGAAATTTTATTTATACAAAATAATGCTTATAGCTTAGTATTTTATAAAATACACGTACACTTGAATTACAAAACTACATGGAATTACTTAAAATTATTAATTAACTTATAAAAAATGGTTTAAAAAAGAAGAAAGTAATTTGGAATTGTAGAAACTAACTTTAAAACAGTGAAATTCCATTGGATTATTGGAATTACTAGTATTTTGAGTAAATTTTTTTGGGTGGTAATAAAGCGATCAGTAAATGATTCGATTTTGAGTAAATGATCAGTATAATATAATATTTTGCACAGTAAAAATAATAAATGCTAAGTAAAGCACGCACAGTATTTTATTGTAATTTGTTCGGTAAAAAAATCCAATTTGCACAGTAAAAATAATAAACGCTCACTAACTTTATTCAAAATTAGTAAAACAACATAAAATTTAAAGAATCTTCAGTCTTGGTTACATAACAATGTATGGCGCCTGCGCAAAAATGTTATTTATTATTGATACTTATTTTTATATTACTGAATGCAGGGTGTCCCACGAGTAATAATGAGCCTGAAACATCATTTGAAGCAACCAACATTACATTTCATAGATAACGCGGATATTAAAATATTTCATTTTAATTAGTTAAAAATAGTAATCGTATTTTTATTTTTGACAAATTTCTATCCGTCAAAATGACTTTACTGTGCTTTTATTATTTTTACTGTGCATTTATTATTTTTACTGATCAAAAATACTTGTCGTTTAAATCATATACTGTGCATTTAATTTGTTCCCAAATTTTGTTGTAATTTTGTAATTAGTTGTACAAGTTTTTGAAGCAAAATAAAAAAAATAGAAATACACCAGTAATTTGTTTTTT